AAAAAAAAAAAAACATTTTTAAATACAATTTTTTTTTTTTTTTTTTAAAAAAATTAATTATTGTTTTGGTAGATTTTTAAGAGTTTATATATATATATATAATTAAAAAGCAACTGACCTTTTTTTTGGGCTTGACTGGAGTTAGGTTTTCCAAAACCGTTATCGTATTGTTTTGAGTCTATTACAAAAATGATTTCGGTTAAAAAAAAAATTATTTTTTAAAAATAAATGTTAAAAAAAAAAAAAAAAAAAAAAAAAATAGCTACGATTCAGGTTGTTATTTTTTGGTATCATTATTTAATACATGTAAATTTTGACCTGGCTTAATTCGCTGTACAAATAAAATAAACAAGAAGTATCCAATATTCTCATTATATCACGAATAAAAAATTGAGAATGAATTTGATACGCCGGATTAAGTATGAAGTGCTTTATAATAAAATTATTTTTATTTTCACGAAACTTGAACGATGTAAAATTTTGAAGGTCAAAGTACAAATGAAAATACTCTTCAGACCCTTCAGAGCTACAAAATACATTACTTAGATTTACTAAAATATTTATTAATTTAAATTAAATTAGTTTTTTTTTTTTTTTTTTTTTTTCAAAATATTATAGAATAATAATTTTTAAAAAACCAATTAAACTAACTCAATTAATGAAACTCCTTCAATTTTAGAACCAACCATTAATAAAAAACATTGAAATTCATTTGATAAAACCAAACTTCTATTGATATCTTGGTAAATTTTGTTAAATTCGTAGGCATTTTTTAAAAAATTAACAATTGAACTTAGATCATTTACGTTTGCTTCCCGTACGATCATGGAATTCACAGAAAGGGAATTTCTATGGCATAAATAAAGTTCTTGCTTAATATTTGATAAAATTTTAGGAGTTACTCTCTGTAAGTAATAAAAATATTTTTTAAAAATTATTAAAAAATAAAATTTCCCGTTTGAAATTGTTTCATACTTACCGTGAATAATTTCAATAAAGAAAATGGTAAAAAATCAGTAGAAATATTAAGAATACAATAATCTCTATCAGGAATTGATCTAAAAGCGGCTTCCAAAAAATCAAACGATGAAAGTTTTTCATCCAATTTTTTAGTGTCAATAGCGAAAAAGTCAACGATAAAAGCATTTGAAGGTCCAGAATATGTGGGGAAAAAAAAACGTGGTACAGAATTTATGAAGATTCACTTAACT